GATTTTTAAAGGCAACGGAAAGCTTTAGAACTGATGGCCTGACTAACATTACCAACTAGGACAAACGTTATCCACAGAGTGTTCAAAATTAAAAAAACTGCTGCGTAGTGCGTGATTTTTATTAGCGATCCTCCAGTGTATACAATGAATTGAACGCCGTCACGAAGGCAAAACGCCTTAGCCGCCACCGATCACCCACACGCAATGTTTCCATGGTAAGCTGATCGAAATGGGAAGCGGCAAATAGGTCGGCATTATTCGAGTATTGTTCAGCAATACTAGGGTAATGATTAAGTCCCTACCGTTTGTTGAAATCACTGTCCTCAGAAATTACGGATAAATTACCAAGGGTGAATTGTAGCGCGTGGTCAGGGAGAGCAATGCCTCCGATCATACAACACTCACTTACACAGTGACCATCCACACGCGATCCGCTATGATTCACCAGGTTTTCGCTCAAAGTAGGTGCCTTAGAAAAGTGTAAAACGGTCGGGGAACGTACTCGCAAAGCAGCCCAAGTCAGATTATGGTAGCCAGTATTTTTTAAACAGCTACATTTCTACAACCAATCAGTCAATATAGTTAGACAAATTTCCCTTCATCCTACATCCTGCTGGCGTCTAAGAAGTAAAAATAAATATTATAACTCTTTCGCGTTCAAGACCAAATCGAGCGGATAACCGCAAGCCCAAAGCGTTTGTTTGGAAATCAGTTGTACATTCCCTGTCCGGTAGCCGTAATCAACAGGAATAATTCTGGAAGAGCAGTTTTCTCAGTCTTTGTGCCCGAAAGCAACAGCAGTGACACGGTTACATAACTTCTTTGCTAGTATATTGGAATTTAAATGCCAAACCTTAGTGTGCGCATTTAAATTACAGGACAATCCCACCAGTAACACACATTGTTTATCCGAATACAGGGAGGGGTGATTAAAACGCCAGGAATGAGGATTAGGAAATTACCTCGGAGCCACGCCGATGAATATGCGTTCCCTTTGGATGGAACAACTGGCTTTGGGGGAAAACGATTCCGTGTGATGCTGAAAGATAGCAAATAAAAGCGGCAGAGTACAGTGCCATGTGTCTGTGAATAAACCGAAAAAGCCCCAAAAAGGTGATGGTATTCCACTCAATGATCAACGGGACAAGAAAAAACTTCAGTACATCAGTGATTAGGGACACGAGTCCAGAATGTCTACGAATCAATGAGAAAGTTCGCGCTTGAGGTGCTTGCATGGGTAAGGAAGAAGGCTTGTCGAGCATTGAAACAATTGGTTTATTATCCTGAGCTTTCAAACTCTAACACGAATTCATTTTTAGAGGTAAAAAACAGCAATAAAGGGGGGGATACTTATAGGGGGGTATACGCCAATCAACTGTCAGAGGTCGGCGGGTCGTTCGAGGTAAGAAACAGCAACAAAAAATGAGGGGAACAATTATGGGGGGGTATAAGCTAGTCAACTGTTAGTGACGTCAGAGGTCGTCAGAGGTAGAATACAACAACGGAAAGGCGGGGTGCATAGGTGTGAAATGCAAATTGCGAAAATTCGTCACCCCATCGTACAGCAAGCTTATGTTCATGTCTGTGCGCGATCCGAGCATGCGTTCAGTTTGACCTGTGTTATTGCAAGAAGAGCTTCGGCGTGGGATACGATATACTACCAGAGATTGGGATTAAGTCGGTCTTTTACTTTCATCATTCCGCTGCGCGTGGTGGCTTTGGGTCGGTGTGCAATTCCAACACCCAGTCCCGCAGCGATGCGTTTAGTCGGTTCTGAGATGTCCCTGATGTGTGGCAGAGCGTGTCACATCCTCCGTGGTGTTTCTGTTTGGGTCTTTCGGAGCTGAACGCATAGGTATTCGGGTTAAAAACGCTTTCGGATACGCATTCCGCATAAATTGATCGCAGAGATGTCGGGCCTCGCGTTGATTGATTGGCGTATACGTCCTCAAATTGCTCCCTTTTGTAGGAGTTTGAAAGCTCAGGACAAGAAACCGATGGCTCCGGTGTTCGACAAGCCTTTTTCCTTAGTAATCCAAATCGTCTATTCTAGTCCTGTGTTTTTTTAAATTTCCGAGGACATCAATGCGCGATCTTGAAGCAAATCCTTCGGAATAAACTGAAAATTACTATGAATATTTGCGGTGAGATCCATCAACTACTGTGGCATAACCATTTGATATTCAAAAATTGCCAATAGGCAGGCAGTAGCATACTAAGGACACCGTAATGAAAACCCAGCTATTCCAGTCTTTGCCGTTGGGACTTCTCAGTAGAAGATGAAATGTAGCCAGTGGCTTAGGGCAGGAATCGTGCGACCCTAAAAATTGCAGTAAAAAAAACTTAATTCGGTCTGTTCAGGAGCCGTTGGGGTCTGCGGCCCCCATAAGAGCCTCTGGTCCGAAGTAGACCAGCATAAAAATCAGGTCAGAAATAATATATCGATTGCCAACGGCAAGTTAAACCGCTGCAAGGGGGACTAAACTGACCCTGTATTCATCTCAGGGGCGAAGTATTTACGCAAATAAACCAACACAACACTATGAGAGACCGGAAGGCCATCTCGGACTTCACTGTGGATTTATCTAGTCGGGAGGGCCTGAAGATATAAATTCAGGGGCGTAAGCTCAATTGTGAATAGTCCCCGTTATGCAAAGTTGTGGCCATCTATCTGGACCGTTTGCTACAAGGATCATGCACGTTCAGATATGTCTTCGAGTAATCATGCCAAAACGTTGTCCAGTGTTCGGGAAAGAATAAAAAGACCAGCCCACTATATTCATCTAAATTATTCACCTCCGCAAGCCGCCTCTGACATCTTTCATGCAGCAGCTTTAGACGGTTATCAAGAAAACTAGGAATAATATACAAGTGGTGTCCTGATCCCTCGAAGTAAGTCAGGAATTAATCGGACTTATCCCCAAATGTTTTACTGCAGACTGCAGTTAGTTAAAAGAGAAGGCCTTGCTAAGTGAAAAAGAAACACCCGTAGGAATGGGAAGCTAATAATACGTACGCTTCAGACCAGGTCCGCCAGGTCATTTCCGGGTCGAACACCCATTCTAGGAAGGTGGACGTCAGCTGGAATGCGCGGGCAGCTTCTTCACACTGAGAGGGCGCCTTAAGGACCTATTTTTGAGGAGGTCGTTATTAGTGCAGAGGTAACACATACACATACC